AGAAAGAAATGGTGAGGGCGTGGCCTAGGGTGAGCATGGTGGGGGTGCTGAGAAAGGACAGATTGGAATGTATTTTGAAGGCAGAGTGTACAAGACTTGTTGATGTGTTCTTCCAAACCCTCCAATGGATCTCCTCATTTAAGAGGAAACATCAAAAGTCAATGTGACCCTATGTGCTCTGGTCCCTTCCCCATCTTCTGTGGGTCTCAGCTCACTCCCTGTTCTCCAGCCATACTAGCCTTCTCACTGTTTTGAGAATAGAGTGAGCATAAAGTTCTTATGTTCCCTCAGGGGCTATTCCCATGGCTTTCTCCCTCAGGGCTCTGCTCAAAGGCCACTTGGCCAGAGAGTCCTTTCTTGGCTGAATCGCACTCTGGCACTCCCTACTCCCCTTGATTTCCCTATTCCCCTGCTCAATTTCTCTTCCTAACACTTGCTGCCGCCATCTGGTATTATACATATATACACACAAGCTTGTAACGTGCATGTTTGTCCCGTGAAGACAAGGATTTTGTTTTGCTCACTGTAGTACCCATTACTGTCTAGTTGATTCTGATTCCTGAAAATCCCAGGTTACATAGTCAAACGCTCCACAAGGTTTTCTTGGCTATAATCTTAATAGAAGCATCTTGCTAGGCTGTTCTTCCAAGGTGCCAGTGGATGCTGCCACTTGAATTGCTAACCTTTAGTTGTTGTTGCTATGTGCCATGGAGTCAGTTCCGACTCATAGCGACCCTGTACAGGGTTTCCAAGGCTGTACATCTTTACAGGAGCAGAAAGCCTCATCTTTCTCCTGCCGAACAGCTTGTCGTTTTGAACTGCTGGCCTTGAGGTTCGCAGCCTGATTCGTAACCACTACACTTCCAGAGCTCCTCTAGTAGCTAAGTGCAAATCATGTGCATCATCAAAGAACCTCTCATTATAACAGAACTCTCAAGACAGAGCTTAGCAAAGAGTAGATGTTTGATCAGCACTGGTTGAATTAATTCTGTTGGAATAGAGATGGAAAGGAACAAAGGATGACTCCAGGGACATATGCTACTTACTGAGGTCACAATGAGGGTTTTAAAAATGGGACTCTGGTTCCATACCTCCAGCCAGAGCTCTAGAGTTATTTTGTCCACCGAGGCCTGGGAAAGGTCCAGAACCTTGGGGTCTGGACTCGTTTTCTTTTCTCATCAGGAGAGGAGGAGAAACTAGAGATGGATACAATGGACTCTCTTAGTCCTTGAAACCGAACATGAAGTTAGATGTTCTTGATTCTGCAAGGCTTGTGGATCCACAATGTTCTCCTAGTTCAAGAGACTACTACAAAGTAGCTTTTTTTTTTTTTCAGGCAAAAAAGAAAGCCATAAAAAAAGAGTTCCCCGTTTTCCTCATTCCTGCAGGTGCCCAACCCGGTTGACTTGTTGGAGTGCATTTTCTGCATTCTTAATAGATAGCTAGCAGGAAACGCCTTGTACGGCCCCAGTGAGAGGGGCAGGAAAGAGCAAGGGGAGGGTCCGAAACCCCTAGCTCCTTCTTTGCATGCACTGAGCTTCACTGAAGTGGGCTGGGCAGTTCTGGTCAGCTTAAAACACCTTGTCCCAGCCATAGAATTGTGATCTGCCTCAGGTGATGGTCGGATATTAAGGTAGGAGAAGCTGGGACCTTTTCAAGGGCTGAGGGATGGTCTTTCATCTGGGAAGGAACGGGAGGGCATCACATACTTTGTGCAATGAGACATGCCATTTTATCTGGTCCTTTTGGGACTTTTCTTCCAAGGGACCACTGTGACAACCTTTCATACTAATGACTCTGGTCTCTGGGGTGCTAAGTACAATTTTGCAGAAGTGTGGTCCATGAAGGCAGGCTATGATAGAGTTGAAACCAAATTGCAAATTTTGGATTCCCTGTCCAAAGATGTTTGCAGAAGTTTGGACAGTGCCTTGAGGTTCACTCAGACCACTTGGTGTCTTTATGTTTTGTGAGTCGGGAAAGAGACAAACTGCATGTAGTATGTTAGTTGTACCATTATGATTGCACAATTGGTGAAACGTGGTTTTGGGGTATTGCTTGCAGGAGGCTTTTGCTATAAACCAGGCACTGGGACAGAGACATCTTCTCACAGAAATCTCTCCAGGTGAGCCCTACCCTTTCTCCAGCCTCCCTCATGTCCCCTTCACTTAGACTTGCTTCACAGCATCCCTTTCCCTTCCATCACCCCACCCTGCCAGTCCTATCTGACAATTCCTTAGTGAAGAAAGCAGCCCACACAGAGGGCTCACTATGGGACAGATCTGCTAACGTTTCTGCGGAGGCGCGGTGGGCGAGATGCACCTCTGCGTGGGCCTAAGCCACGTGACAGTCCTCAGACTTTCAACATCCCACCAAGACAGATCCCCTCCTCTGGCATCTGTGTGCACTCAGGAGATTGCATATAGTAGGACTCAGGACAGTACCCCATGGCTTTCTGTTGAGTGTACATCCTTGTGTTTGGAAGGAAAAGGGAGGGGCAGAGGCAGAACTTGGAGTTTCTTCTGGATCCCCAGTTGAAACTGCATGGTGATGGCGCCGAAACATTGCCTCCCCCTGGAATTCTGGGACCTGTCCTCCCTCCTCCCAGTTGCCCCTTAGGCTTTACTCAGAAGAATGAGTTGTTGCTTCAGACTCTAATGGCCTAAGGTTCTGGTCAGCTCCATCCCTATGACTTCAGGGAAAGATAGCAAAGATTGATTACAAGTTGTGTCAAGCCTGAGCCCGCAGAGAGCACTGGCCACTGGCAATTCTGAGAGTAGTGGAAGAATCCTCCTGGGGAGCTAGCAGCCCTAGCAGCAGCAGAGAGAGAGGCTTCCAGAAACCCCACGGACGGACGGAGGTAGGCTGATGTCCTGCATTCCCTGGAGGAAACCAGATGGCTGGTTTAGGGTTCGAATGCAAGGTCTGAGAGGCCAAGCCCCCACATTTATTTGACAGATGGGGGAGACTGAAGCCCTGGGAATGTAAGGGACGGTTATTTCCACATATGGTGGCAAAACTGGGAACAATCCAAGGAAGACCATAAGGGATAATGGGAGGAAGACAGAGTTTGGAGTGAGAGAGAGCTGGGTTCACATTCCAACTCTGACACTACTTGGTTGTGTAGCCTGGACAGTTTATAATTATTTGTTTACCTTCTCTAAGACCCAGTTCCCTAATCTGTAAAATAGGGATAATAATAATTACTTTGTAGGCTAGAGATATTACATAAAATGTATGCATAGCTTCTGACACATAGTAGGTATTCTGCGCATTGTAGCTTCTAAAACAAGTGTGGTCTCTGTACTTATCATTGTGTTATAATTCACAACACTTTTGTCTCTGAATGGTGCAAACGGTTAAATGTGCTCTGCTACTGATCAAAAGGTTGTAGGTTCAAGTCCACCCAGAGACATAGCAGAAGAAAGCTCTGGCGATTTCCTTTGGGAAAACCAGCCACTGGAAATACTCGGGAGCACAGTTCTGCTTTGACACATATGGGGTCACCATGAGTTGGAGTTGACTCAATGGCAACCTAAATAGAAATAAAGCAAATTAAAAAAAAATTTTATGACTGTAAACGTCTGAAAATATGCTTTATTATTGATGAAAATTACAGTGAAATGCATAGAGTTTAAGTGTACAGTTTGAATTTTGACCAATCTATACATCATTTAGATCCCCTTCATCAAGCTGGAAGAAGGCATTTCTAATATCCTGAGAGTGAACTCCACCTACAGGCAACTGCTGTTCTAACTTCTATCACCAGAGATTATTGATGCCTGTTCTGGTAGTGTAGTGGGTTACAAGATGGGGTGCTAACCGTAAAGTCAGCAGTTTGAATCTATCAGCCACTCCTTGGGAGAAAGATGAGGCCTTATGCTCCCATAAAGATTTATAGCCTCAGAAACTCTATAGTGAGTCACAACTAGTCAGAAGCAGCTTGGTGACACACAGCAGCAGAAGCAGTGCCATATAAATGGAATGGTAGAACATGTAGTCTTTGTGCCTGGCTTCTTTCACTCAGCATGGTTTTGAGATTCATCTATGTTGCTGTATAGATTGATAGTTTGGTCCTTTTTATTGTCAAGTGGTCTTCTTTTGGTATGACTATGTCTTAGCCAATTTATTTTCCTGATGATGGACATTTGGACTATTTTCAGTTTCACTATTATGAATAAGGGGTCCTGGTATGTCACTGTAGGATAAGCACCAGGCTGCAAACCACAAAGTTGGGGCTTCAAACCCACCAGCCACTTCTTGGAAACTCTCTACAGGGTCACTGACACCAATAGCATTATGAAGAATGCTATTAGGAAATTCATGTGCAGATCTTTGCGTGGACATATGTTTCATTTCTCTCGATTAAATGTACCTAGAAGTGGGATTGCTGAGTCACATGGTAAACATATGTTTAACTTTATAAGAAACTGACAGGTTTTTAAAAGTGATTGTTCATATGTTTTTGGAATAAGAGTACAAGAGATTACTTTGTAGGGTAATATCTGGTTATGGTTAACATGACTGTTAGCCACTGAGGAATTGAATGGTGGTTTTCAATCAAAGTCTTTCCTAGACAATACAATCCAGCTATGACACTAAGGAGAACTTTTTTAGAAAGGGTCCCTGCTTACCACCAAATCACTTCCCAATGTCCCTCTCATAAGCTGTTGCTATTTTGGGTAGAATCATGGAAGTGTAGACTGCGGAGTCCATCTGCTTCAACTCCCTCATTTACCCAAGAGGCATCCGAATCCCAGACAAGCTATGTGCTTCCTCCAAAATTACACAGTTGACTTGTTTGGGAGCTAAAGAAAACAAACAACAGATTTTCTGACTCTTGCTCTGATTTATTGTCCATACATTGTGCTTTCTCTCCATGAAGAGGCAAATTGCTTGCCCCCCAAGGAAAAGAGTCATCCTACTTATAGCCTAGGTTCATGGGAATAAAATGGCAGTGACATTTTGCATTTTGTCCACAGCTATCAACGGTGCCACCCACAATGGAAGAAACAAAGAAGACTAGTAAGGGTAAACAGAAGCCTATAAGGACTGAGTGGAATTCCCGATGTGTCCTTTTCACCTATTTCCAAGGGGACATAAGCAGCGTTGTGGATGAGCACTTCTCCAGAGCTCTGGGCAATATCAAAAGCCCCCAGCAACTGCCCACCTCGAGCCAGAACCAAGAAGTGACCTTTAGGAATGGTGAGCATGTTGGGAGGGAAAAAGTCAAAATTCCCTGTCCAGGCTAGCACTGAGCCCAGCTCATTGATGCACTTAAACAAGTATATATTTGCTATAGGAAAGACACACCATCCAATGTGAAGCCACACTTCCTCTTGATAAATTTAATGTGGTTTAATTGAGTTAATTCACCAATTATATTATGTCCTCAGTTGTGTGAGCTGTAGGGTTTACTGCTCAGCACACAACAAAAGCCCCACGTCTTCCACAATTACATAATGATCAGTATAATTTTAATATGGGTAGCCTGATGCGGTAGGAATACAAAAGAACTCATAAGAAAAAGCAGGTCCCATGTAGGTGCTCCTGGCCTCCTCTCAACTGATGGAGCAAGAGGAGGGCGGGAGGGAGGCAGATGAAGGGTTTTGCTGTTATTGGAGCCTTCACCCCACTCCAATAGGGTGAGGGTGTCCATTGTACATACTACTTGGCAATATTTTTTTTAAAAAAAAGTTGTCTGGCATCTCCAAGCAACTACCTCAAGAGAACTGTGTTAAAAACATATATGCCAAAATCTTAAGATTTGGAGGAAGTCATAAAAATGACACTGGCCCTTTCCTCGAGAAAATATATAAAAATGATACTGTATGACTGTATTGGTTGGAAGATGATTGTACTCTAGGCTGCATTTATTTTTACAAATTCATTTTCATTATTATGGAGTACTTGGGTGGTGTAAATGGTTAATACACACAGCTGCTACCCAAAAGGTTGGTGGTTCAAGTCCACCCAGAGGTACCTCAGAGGAACGTCTAAGGCAATCTACTTCTAAGAAATCAGTCATTAAAAACCATATGGCGCACAACTTTACTCTACACAATTTATAGGGTTACCGTGAGTTGGAGGTGACTTCATAGTAGTTGTTTTTCATTTGTTGTCTTTTATCTTTAATCATTATTACTTCATTCTTTTTTCTGATAGTAAAAGATTTTCCCATAAGTCCATGAAAATATTTCTGGGCCCTAGGGACCATGCCTACCCGCCACCTGAATGTGAAACAATGTGGTTCCTCTTCACTTGTAGGAAATTTGCCAATAGACCAGGGGCTGTGTGGTTTTATGGGCTCATTAATACTGTTCCCAAATATGAGTGGTGAATGCCTTGCTCTCATTGACATATGTACATGCCTCCAAGTGGGTTTCTTTGTACGAAGTGGACATGTGGGGTCTCTGCCTGCAGGAGAAAGAACTCATCTCTTTCCAAATACCCCCATTCTGGCTTTGCTCTTCATGTCAAGACAGGCAATTGGTGTGCGTCTGATGTACTCCCCTTTGCAGAATTTATGTCTCTCCTAGAAAGTTCTTTTCCAGTCACATGACATGATTTTCTCAAAGTATCTTTTGGGTTAAGTAAACATGTGGAAGGGTTGAGGCAGCAGCAGATACAAAAGCAAATGGTGTGTTTCAGTCTCACAGTTCTGAAGGCGAGAAGAGCAGATCAAGGTATTGGCCTTGTTGGTTCCTTCTAAGGCTCTGAGACAGAAAGTGTTCCATGTCTCCTTGTCTTGCTTCTGATGCCTCCAGGCACTGCTTGGCTTTTAGCTGTAGCATCACATGGCATCCCTCCTGTATGTCTCTGTCCCAAGATGTCTTCTTTTGTATAAGGATGCCAGTCATATCAGAATAAGGCACACCCTATTCCAGTATGACCTAATGTTAACCTAGCTGATAACATCTTCAAAGAAAGAACTTCTTTCCAAACAGGCTCTTTCCAAACAGCTCCCAAACAGGTATGGGGGCTTAGGACATCAGCATATCTTCATTTGGGACACAATTCAACCCGTAACACCTGGTAAAATCTGAGCTAAAAGTAACTCTTGGCCTATTGCCTAATCCCTTGGCTTCATTTTGCAGGAAAATGCTATTAACGTATATTATCTCTTCTTCCTTTCTCCTCATGCTCTCTTAAATCCACTCCACTCAGGCTTTCATCGTCGTTACTCCTTGAAACCACTCTTATTAAGGCTAGGCAGTGGCCTCTACTTTCCAAAACCCATGGTCCTCTGTCTTCATCTAATTTGATCTACCAGCAACATTTGCTGTAGTTGATTTCTCCCTCCTTTTTTGAAATACTTCCTTCACTTGGATTTCATCATATCACACTCTCTTGGTATTCTTCCTACCTCCTTGGTTAGTACTTCTTTTCAGTCTCCTTTTCTGGATCCTTCTCCTGCCCCAACTTCTAAATGTTCAACTGTTCCAGGATTCAGGTTTCAGGCCATTTCTAGCTTCTAGCTAAACTCACTCCTTAGATGACTGGTCTTAAATGTCACCTATGTGCTGATCAATTCTAAATGTCTATTTCCAGCCTAAACTGGAGTCTAGATCTATATATCTAACTGTTTTCTTGAAATCTTTACTTTATAGGCCTAATAGGAATCTGAAACAAAACAGGTCCCAAGCTGTACTCTTAATCTTCTCCCTAACCTGGTTCTTCTGCACTCAACAAAATGACAACTGTATCCTCCCAATCATTTAGAGTCATGTTTACATCCTCTGCTTTTCTCAAGGCCCATGTTCAATCCTTTGAGACTGCTTCTTCCCACCTTTGCTACTATCTTCCTGGTCTGAGAAACATTATCTCCCCTGGATTATTGCTGTAGCCTCCAAATTGGTCTCACTGCCCTAGGTCCTCTTCAGTCTAGTCTCAACACAGGGGTTAGAATGATACAATGAAAAAGAAAGTTTATTTTACCCTTCTGATCAAAACCCTCCAATAGTTTTTCCATCTTACTTGGAATCAAATCCAAAGTTTTTCATGGGACATAACTTTATCTGGGTACCTGTTATCTGCCTGATATCATATTCTGCTACTTCCCACTTAACTCATCTTCTCTAGCCTCCTTGCCATTTGTAGACCACACCAAGTATAATCCTGTCTCAGGGCCTACATGCTTGTTGATCCTTCCCTTATTTACTTTTCGATCAGAGTGTTACCTCTTCACATAAGCCTTCTCTGAACAACCTTGTTGTTGTTAGGTGCCATCGAATTGGTACCAAGTCATAGCAACCTTATGCACAACAGAATGAAACCCTGCCTGGTGCTGGGCCAACCTCATTATTGTTGCCACACTTGAACCCATTGATACTGCCACTTTGCCAATCCATCTCGCTGGGGGTCTTCCTCTTTTTCTCTGACCAGTGACTGGTCCCTCCTAACAGTGGGTGGCAGTTGTATCGTTTCCTTTGCCCTCCAACTTTCTAGTGGGTCTTTCCATGACCACTGAGGGAACTTGAGCACAGACAGCATTAGTGACGTCTAGGCACACCACCCTTCCCATGCCAAACAGAGAGGCAGCTTTCTTCTCCCCCTGACCTTCTGGAAAGTTACATTTTCCCTGTGAGAACCTCACACATCTTTTGACTAGGGAGATGTCCAGCCCTCAGAGAGTGTGGGGTGGGCTAGGAAAATGTTTGTCTGCTGATTTCGCAAATGAAAGAGTGTTGCCCTCAAGGTCTTCCTTATCGCAACTAGGACTCAAAGTTCTCCGAGATTCTGCTGCTCCATGACAGAAGACCAGACCCACAGTAGAACTCGCTGGACAGTTAGAGGCTATAAGTGCAGCTTCAAAACTGGTGGGAATCCATAAAGTGTCCTTTCATTTCTGACCATCAGCACCCTCTCAAGCTCTGCAGGCCAGCACCTAGCCACCCGCCACAGCCCAGCCCTGCCCAGGAGAACAGGCTGCCCATTCATGTGCTCCCATCCCCCCCTCACCTACCTCCTAAGGGCAGGCTGTAAAGCTGCCTACGCTAAGCCCAAGCATACAGACCCATGTGCCTAGAAGATGCAACCCAAGTTCCTGACTTCTTTTTCCAAATCAAAGTGATGTTTTATTTACTTACATCATTTTTGTTACTGGTCACACTTCAGAAGAGAAAACAGAAGTTAAATGATTTCTCTCTTTAAAAAGGACATTGGGGATTTAAGACTGGGTAACTCAAGAAGTTTTAGTAACTACCATTTCTGAGGGACAGTTTGGTGTGCATTCCACCCTGAATTCAAGCCCCCTGGGCTGGGGCCTGCTCACATTGCTCAACAGATACAGGAGAGAAGGCAAAAGGGCACATACCTGAGCACCCAGAGGCCTTTTATAACTAGCTGCAAAGGCCCCACCTCCTTCTCCTCTCCCATCTGCCATACTCAAGTGGGGGTAGGGAAGAAATGCTGCGGCTCTTTCTGTGAATGGCTACCTGGAATATAGCCATGCTAGTTGTTTATGGCACTTGTGAACACTAACAACTGTGTGCTTCTTTCCCAGTAAGGAAGGAGAGTTTGTACAAACATATATTGAGCCTCCACTGGCTAACAGACACCACACATCATTGCACTGTGTCCAGAGGGTGCAAGGAGGCAGGGCCACCATGTGGAGGCAAACTCTTCAGAGCCGGAGGGTGTTTTCTGCAGGGTTCTGGGGCCCCTCGGAAGGTATATAGGTGGGTGTGGGTGAGTTCTCTATGTTTGCCTAGGTGGCAGTAGAGTGGCTTGCTCTTGGAACCACATGGGAAATGAGAACTAGAACTCTATGGGCAGACCTGGGTCTTAAGACTGGGAACACAGGAATTCTAGAGGCAAGAGTGGGATTAAGAGATTGAGGCCAGATGCTAAGGATGGAAGTCTTTCGTATTCCTATTGAGAGAAAAAAATCTAGCCTGTTCAAGTGTTGCTGAATCAAAGTATCCTTCACCATGTCTCCATTCGCTAAAGTAGTTGGGGAGTTTGAGAAGGCAGTAAACTCACTCTGGGAATGCAGTGGAGCAGGCCTGAGTCGGCTTACCGCCCTCTCCTCCAGAGGTAACTAAGAGAAACCATTTGGGTAGTAAGTAGGAAGGTATCACTATACCACTCGGGCTATTTCTAGTAGCAACAGTAACCATGAGCCAATGCAGGCTGTGGTCCATGAAACAGCCATCCATCCACAGGCTAGATGGGCAGTTAGCCCAAGAAGCCTAAGAAAGTACAGTCCCACCAAAATTCAGGGTCTCTCTTCCATGGATATCAGCACCCAAACCTGTTCAGGAAAGGGGGTTTCCAAGGTACCCAAGGCCCACCATTGGGTTGCAGAGTAACTAAATAGAACCTTGGAGAACAGCGTACCACTCATTTCAGACAGAGAATCCCTGGAAGGAAGCAGTTAAGAGAAATTATCAGAGCATGCTGGGACCCCGCCTTCCACATTTTAAGCAGCCAGGGCTCAGGCTGTATGTGTGAGCTCTGTGAAACCACTTCAGATGGAAACTGCTTGGCTGTCAGAGGCTACATGTTATTGTTGTTTTGTGCTTAGGACATACAGTACCCTCATTCAACATGAAGCACTGATAGGGGTTATGGCAAATCAGCTTAATCTCTCTATTTGTGCCACAATGTACCCTAATTGCTACTGTCTGTGGATATCAATTTTTGAAAGTTGCTTTTACCCTCAGGAACAAATCTTAATGTTTCATTGCCAGTGTTTTCATTAGAACAGGCCAACTGTTGCCCATTGCCCATTGTGAAGGACAGAAAATATTGGACACGATGTCTCCATCGACGGGGGCAGGTCTCATTTTGCTTTTATCATCTCTATCACACACAAAGCTATGGTGGTGGGTGGGGATGCTTCAGTACCACTGAGTAGGCCTCTCAGACATTTTTTTTCCCCCCTCTTGTTCAGAATCCAGTCAAATAGAGAATTCAGGAGAGCTGGGAGAATGTACCAGCCAGCCTCTTAGGTCCTTGAGTTTTCCTTTGTTTGCATCACCCCTACCTCCTTCCTCTTTCATTAACTTAGATATATGAGAGGCTCCAGGCTTTAAGCACCATCTGGTAGACCCCTATCCCTCTGCCCCTCCTTCCAGAGTACCTATTGAGAATGGGGAAAGCAGCCATCCATGTCATGAGCTAATGTAGACTTTGAGATCTCAAACTCAACCACTATTACAAGGACAATTAGATTAGTGGCTTGTACCATCAAAGGAGGCCTCATCCCCATCAGCTTACCTACATGAACTTTGCAAGAATAAACTGAGTCACCCCTTGACCCTGAGCATTTTGTGTTTACAAAACAAGATCCAAGCAACTACTTCCCCATCCATCGCTTAGGATTTGGATCCCTACTTGGCTCATCTGTTTTCCTGCCTTGGTTCAGTCTCTTAACATCCCTGTGCCAGATTTCCTCTTGAAAATGTTATGTCAAAACCTACAGTTGTGTGAATGACCAACATAGGCAAATACTAAGCCCTTTATAAAGTTCTGTGGCTTCCTACTATTTGATGTATTCAAAACACCAGCTATAAAATAAAGCAAAACAATAGCTACAATCAAACACAAAACACCTTTGATTAAATAATTCTACTTGTAGAAAATTTACCTTAATCATTGGAAGTAACTGGACAAGGGTGCAAAGATACACAGATGATCATTGCAATGGTAATAGAATTGAAACAATACAAATGTCTGAGCTGTCTGTAAATATGACATTTGTTAGTAAGACTTAAGGTAAAAATCAACTAACAGGTCCTGCCTATAGAGTCGATTTGGTAAGAGTAGGACTGTGCTCCGGGGTGGGGGGGTGGGGGGGTGGTGGTGTTAATGTCTGGTTGGTTGGAAATAGATCATCAGATCTTTCTTCTGAGGTACCTTTGGGTGGATTTGAATCTCCAACCATTCAATTAGCAGCAGAATATGCTATTTGTACCACAAAAGAAATTTTTTTACAATGGAATCCTGTGGGGACAATTAGAAAGCTGAGGTTTGGGTCTTGTCACTGCTATGGAAATATATTCACAATGTTTTAATGATGAAAAAAACAGCTTAGATAACATGTTTTGTAAGAATAATGTCTACACAAAGAGAAAACAATCTTAGAAAAAAGTGTGTCCAAATCACTACCTATCATGATCAAGGTAATATGTTTTTTTCACCTTTTCTACATTTTCATCACATTAAGAAATAGTATGGAGTGGTTGTACATGAAGAGTCTAATCAGTGTCCCCAAAGGATACATGTAGAAATTATTGAGTTGGTGTATGTTTATTTTATTGTATATGTTTTACTGTATATGCTTTCATGACACAATAAAAACCAGTATACATTAACTAGAAAAAAAAATTAGGCTACTTCCGCTTTACAAAGAAAAGCTAAAGCACCTGCTATGAGAGCCCTAGTGGTATTATAGGATAAGCAATGGACTGCCAACTGCAAGGTCAGTGGTTCCAACCCCCAAGCTGGTCCTCAGGAGAAAGAAGAGGCTTCTTGCTCCCTTAAAGATCTACAGTCTCGGAAGCCCTATTGTTAAGTGTCATCAGGTCGATTCTAACTAGAGCTTGCCTGTGCAGGGTTTCCGAGGAACAGCTGGTAGGTTTGAACCTCCGACCTTGTGGTTTGCAGTCCAATGCTTATATAAGATGGCTATTAATTAGAATTGACTCAATGATAGTGAATGAGTGATTGATTGACAGCTGTCTAACTGTTTTCTGGATCTTTCCTTCTCAGATAGTGACATGCCTCCAAATCAATGGCGCTTGTCCTCTCATTGGAGAAAGGCACAGCCAGAAGGCGTTCGTGCAAATGGTGTTGCCAAAAGCAGCTTGAGTGTGTCTGCTCCCATGGCTATGGATCCGTATCCATACCCGCACCCACGACTGCTGACCAGGAGCCCCTCAGCCCAGCCCAGAGAACTGTGGCATTTCCCCTCTCTACCCAGCTCCAGCTCTGCACAGCCTGCCTATCCTCATGCTTTCTCCAGTAGCCACCTGGCCCCAAATCCCAGACCTGATGGGAAATGTGAGCCCCTGCTAAGTCTCCTGCAGCAAGAAAGATGCCCAGCCTGTCCTCAGGAATGTCTTATGAGGGAGAGCCCCAACTCTGCCCAGATACCTGGAAGAGCAGGCTTGCTCTTCAATCAGCATCCTGGCTCCTACCACTGTAAGTATCTGCCTACACATACTTGGATTGGTTGTAGGGAAGAGTCCGCATGAGATTGGGGTGCCAGATGAATTGCTGCCACTGGGCATGGGACTGCTGAGGGACAGAATGCTTTGCTTCAGCTTTTCATAGCTTCCCTAGACTTCACTGACAGCCACAGTTTAATGGCTAGCAGGTTACAGAGGTAGACAATCAGACTGATATGACCTAGAATATCTACTCCAGCCTGTTGGATTGGTTTTATGCTAGAAAAATGATGGACTATTGCCTAAAATCACAGTAGTCCTATATTTACCTCATTGTGAGCTACCAAATAATCTGTTTGCAATGCAGAATTCTGTGACATGCCTACAGAATCAAACATGAGCTTCCCAACAGGTTGGCAACATGCCAGCATCCTGAGCAAAAACAAAGACAGTCCATACCAACCTTGTACTCCACACATTAAAATTTGAAGCAACCGGAGAGCTAGTCCTGTGGCTTCTTGGCTTTCAGCAGCTTGCTCTTGCTCACTGGGCTCCCCTCTTCTGTTTCCCTCGGGTCCCTGTTCCTAGACTACCACCATTCCCTCAGAACCAAAAATTCCCTTGAGAGTTACTTACTCACTGTTTCATTCATTCACTCACTGAAAAAAGATTTAATTAGCGCCTTAAAAAAACAATAGCCTTAGAGTTGATTTCAGACTCGTGACATTGACAAAGTAGAAGTGCTCCATGGGGATTCCTTGGCTGTACTATGAATGGAAGCAAAGCACCAGGCCTGTTTTCTGGAGGACTGCTGGTTGGGTTGGAACCACCAACTTTTCAGTTAGTAAGTAGTTCCGTGAAAATCATTTGTACCACTCAGGAATCCTTAATTAGTGCCTGTTGTTGTTAAGTGCTATCGAGTCGGTTCCGACCCATAGCAACCCTGTATAGGGTTTCCAAGGAGCAGCTGGTGAGCTTGAAACCCCGACCTTGCAGTTCAGACGGCTTTGAAGTCTGACGCATTAAACCACAGTGCCACACCAGGACTCCTTAGTGCCTAGTGGGTGCAAAAATGCCCATCAGAAAACAAGACTCCTTTCTTTGTAAAATGATGAGAGTAGAATCAATCTGACTTATAATTTCACCAAAATAAACAAACCGATTCTGCTACAAGATTAGACTTTTGTATGCAATGTTGGTGGTAATAGGAGGGGGCTTCAAAAAGTTAATGAAAAATGGAATGAAAAGATGATGGAATTTTTCCATGAACTTTTTGAAGCCCCCTCATATATACATATTTTATAGTTTCATGGCATTAAGCTTGACATTCTGCATTCTAGATGAGTTTTATTTTTTAGCTCCCTGGTCCACACGTCTGTGACTCTAGTCTCCCCTAGAAGCCACGGTGGTACAGTGGTTAAGCACTCAACTGCTAACTGAAAGATCAGCAATGCAAACCCACCAGCTGCTCCTCAGGAGAAAGATATGGCAGTTTGATTCTGTGAAGAATCTACCCTTGGAAGCCCTGTGAAACAGTTCTTGTTGTTAGGTGCCATCGAGTCGGTACCGACCCATAGCGACTTTATGCACAGCAGAATGAAACACTGCCCGATCCTAGGCCAACCTCACTACTGTTGTCACGCTTGAGTCCATCGACGCTGCCACTTGGCCAATCCATGTGGAACAGTTCTACTCTGAGACAAATTATCCAATAAGCAAGGTAAGCATGGGTTATCTTGTGCCTACTTAATCTGTAGTGAACAATTTCCCATAGGTTCAAAGAGATGGTGAAAAACATGTGAAACTACAGATTAGTAAGTAAGCACAAAGAAACTCATGCTTACCTTGCTTACTGCATACTCTGTCCCTGTCAGGGTTTGCATATTTGAAAAGTGGCTTTGATTTGGTAGGAAGGTGGTATGGGGCTTCAGAGAGACAGATGCCAGCCAGACCTAGAAGCAGATCTTGGCTGTGATGAAAAAATGTGAAAATACTCATACAGGTTACTAAGTAAGCACAAATAAGCTGTGCTTCCCTTGCTGATTAGGCAATTTGTCCCCTGTCTATAGGGTCACTATGAGTCAGAATTAATTTGACAGTGAAAGGTTTTATGGGTAGTCTCCAATGCTTGAAATGGATTTTCTGGAAGCTGCCTTTTGCTCTGCTCTGAGTATGCAGAGGGCCTGTTGAGCCCAGCCGGGCACTCTGCTCCATGTAAACACTGAAAACAAATTTCCCATTAACATACCACTCCATCATTTCCAAAGTTTTATTAAGAAAGTACTTAAAGAAGAAATCATAAACTGTTATGCTTGGGACACCTGTGAGATTTCCCACACCTGTACTCTTTTTTACAACTCTGTTCTTAATGGATTCAGAGGGCAAATTGGGCCAACTGAGTTTGTATATGTCTTGTACAGACACACAGTAGAACCCTGTTTTGATAGCTGTTAGAACCTACATAATTCAAATCCTTACCCCCAAACATAACTCTATACAGCTCAACTTTAATTCAGCAAATATTTAGTGAGCATCTACCATAGCCAGGCATCTAATGGTGAAACACCAAAGCAGGTAGTATTCTATTCCCAAAACCTCTAGATACATTCACAAAGCAATGTTTCTCACCAAAGTCTCTACTACTGCAGACTCTGCACATTCTCCTACTCAAGTTGACATCCAATGCACTAATTGATGACTGGCTGCTCAGAATCTGGTGAGGAAGTTAGCAACTCCTAATCAGGGACACTGCCTAAAAGAGGGAAACATGGCCTTGGGGTCTTACAACAGAAGCTTTTCTGTCTTTGAGGGCTGATTCAGTGGCAGTGAGTTTGGTTTTTCTGAGGACGGGGGGTACTATTGTATACTTTGTAACCCAGCCCCAGTGATTTCATTTCCAGTCATGACTTTTTCATCTTTTCTAGATAAGAAAATGTATTTCTCCTCCAACCATGGACCAGCAGCCAGTGCCAGCCTTGCAACTGAAAGTAGGTATCTGTTTCCTGCCTTTGACAGTTATTCTCTGTAACCTGAGAAGAAACTTAAGTGTAAAAACCAGGGTCCCCAGCAGCTGAAAGTACCTTTTTATCTTTGACACCTTTTCTTTTTTCTTATTTTTGTATTTAGAATTTGTTTCATTTTGGTCTCAAAGAGTCCATGCATTTCATATCTTGTAAAATTTCTTGCAATATCCTTGCCTTACTGCAGAAGCAGTTCAGCTGTGTTGTTTTACCTGAACCTGACTGATGGGGGAAACTAAGGTGACTCAGAAAGTACACAGATTCATGGAGATTAGCTTATCTGCCCCAGATGTTCACTTTTTTGCCAAGTACATAGGGCTGGCTGCCCTAGAATACTGCAGCTAGGAAAAATGCTGACTAAGAGGACAAGCCTATGGACTGCACAATTTGAAAATGCTGTCAGTACACAATGAAGACAATCTGGGGGTGGGAGGATGACATGGGGAGCTATGTGGCCCAGATTCTAATCCTGCCTTCATTACTTAATTGTTGTTGTTAAGTGCAGTTAAGTCAGTTTCCACTCATAGGGTTTCTGAGGAGCAGCTGATGGGTTTGAACTGCTAACCTTGTAGTTAGCAATCCAGTTCTATTTTGTTGTTAATTGCCATCGAGTCAGTTCTGACCCATAGCTAGCCTGTGTAGGATTTCCAAGGAGTAGCTGGTAAGCTTGAACTGCCAACTTGAGGTTCAAACTGACTTTGCAGTCCAGCTCATTAACCCACAGTGTGATTGCTTATGAGTTTACACTTCATATTGTTCATAAACCCAAAATAGCAACTTTATTTATGGGGCACTGATTATGGGCCAGATATGGCATCCTGCAAAGTCCCTTAAATGACATTGTGGTATGTGGTACCTTACACAATCGGTATTCAGCAAACAGTGATTATTTTAGTTATCTTGCACTGTTATCACAGACATTTTTTTCACTCATAGTTTTGTTGTTGCTGTTGTTTAGTGCTGTTGAGTCAACTCTGACTCATAGTGACCCTGCACAGGGTTTCTGAGGAATGGCTGCTCAGTTTGAACCACTAACCTTGTGGTTCAATCAAACCAATCTTGCAGTCCAGTGCTTATCCTACAGTGCCACAACTGGACTCCCTGTCACAGTTTAGGAGTCGAGAATTTGGAATCCAGAGCCCCAGCTCTAGGGGAAGGCTTTCTCTCTCTTGACTCTGGGGGAAGGTCCTTGTCTCTTCAACTTCTGCTTCATGGTTCCTTGGAGATGCCATGGATCTTGACAGCTATCTTACCCCCATCTCCCTCAGTCTGCTTGCTTGTGTAATCTCTTTTTCTATCTCGAAAGATGCTGCCTTAAAACATAACCTACACTAATACTACCTCATTCATATAACGAAGAAAACCCATTCCCAAATTGGTGCAGTGGCTAAGTGCTGAGAGGTTGGTGGTTCGATCCACCAACTGCTTTCACGGGAGAAACATGTGGCAATTTGCTTCTGTAAAGATTCCCAAACCAAACCCAACTCACTGCCGCTGAGTTGATTGTGACTCATATCAATCCCTCAGGACAGAGTAGAACTGCCCCATAGGGTTTCTAAGACTGCAAATCTTTACAGAAACAGACTGACACATGTTTCTCCCTCAGAGTGGCTGGTGGATTCAAACTGCTAATCATTTGGTTAGCAGCCACGTGCTTTAACCATTGCACCACCAGAAAGGTGACAGCCTTGGAAACCCAATGGGACAGTTCTGCTCTGTCATGTAGTCACTATGAGTCAGAAATGACTCCATGACAACGTTTTTGGTTGTTGTTGTTTTAACGATTTACAGTGTAGATCGTTAAAACATCATTTCACATATAGGAAATTGAGATATAGGGAAGTCATGTAAATTTGCCAAAAGTGCCAGGGTCCATTTTGTTTTGTTTCTGATTTCAAAGTGTTTTCTGGGTCTTGTCCACCAAACTGTGGCGCTGTAGGTTAATGTATCAGACTGCAAAGCCATTTGAACTACAAGGTCAGTGGTTCAAGCTCACTAGTCACTCCTTAGACACTCTATTCAGGGCAGCTATGGGTCGGAACTGACTCGACGGTATTTAACAATAACAATAACCCACTAAACTAAGTTCCATCTGGACACAACATAATTTACCACTGTTGCATATGGAGACACTGTTTTAACACAATAATAACCAGTGAAAAACAAATTGTAGCCATCAAGTTGATTTGGACCCTAGGACCATCAAGGGAGAAGAGCACAAACGCATGGCTGTTTGGGGTTTTTTTCGAGAAATACATCACCAGGTTTTTCTTTGGAGGCACTTCTGGGTGCACTCAAACGTCCACAGTTTTGCAGTGTTAACCATGTTGTTTGTTGTTAAGTGTTGTCAAGTCTGTTCTGATTCATACCAAGGAGCAGCTGGTGAGTTTGAACCAACAACCTTGTGGTTCAAACTGACCTTGCGGTCCAGTGCTTTACCCAAAGCATCACACTAGGATTCCTAATCATTTATACCACCCAGGAACTCAAACGAAATCATTGCATTTATTGAGCACATAGTGCCAGGTACTATTCTGAGGTCTTGACATGTGTTTAACCTGTTTAATTATCACCAGAATCTTGGGAGGAAGACAACAGTATTATCCCCATTTAGCAGATGAAGAAGACATGGCTGAGAGAAGCGAGATAACTTGCCCCAGATCACACAACTCAGGAACAGTACGACCAAAAATTGGGCTCAGCTGACTCCAGAACGAGCTTTCTAATCCACATGCTTATCCTGTTTTTCAGGGAGCCAATCTCCAGAGAGAAGACAAAACCTGTATTTCTACTGAACTTAGGTTTGAAGAAGAGAATTGATTTTTCCAAACCTGCTCCTGATTTTCCACTATGAATCCAGAGTATATAGAGATATCATCATCCTTTTATGATTCTACCCTAAAATTATACCCTTTTCTTCCTTGATATCTAGGCCCTATGGCAAGATTTTCAAGCTTGTTAAGTGAATTTCAAGCATATAAAATGATGAAGAGAGTTGTTTGTGATGGAATAAAAAAAGCCTACCTCGTTGGTCATCCCACCTTCCCCTGCATCCTAATTAGTAATCACAATCCCTTATCCCCAGCCAGGGTCCTTCAAACACATCCTCACCAGGTAGTATCCTATGGAGTTTTCTTACTTTTCAAATTGTTTAATAGAGAGATAAGGCCCAGCCCAAGGCTTTCAACTTTTCCAACCTGAACTTATGTCAACTTCAATCCTGCCTCTTCTAAAATCAAAATGAAAAATGGCATGAGAAAAAAATCATTGAGAATGGACTGGGGCTGGAAGGTAGCTGAAAAGTTCAGACTGGTTCTAATGAATGAAATAATGTCTTTGGGAAATAGGATTCCTCAATTCCCACCACCACCCCCAAAACAAATTTGAATGGAACGTCTAAAAATCTTTGACTTTTAAGAACTTAACTTATTGGAAGAATAGCAAATTGCCTTGTCCCAAGCAGGGCCTGTGGTGGAGCAGAAGTCAATCTGTATGCAGAACATTTGTTGGCATGAGTTCCTGTTTGCCCTAACTCTGTAGATTAGGACTGTAGGGTGGCAACTTGCAGTCTTGCAGAGGGGCCCAGTTGGCTTCCATAAGCAATGGAACTTCTCGTTTAGCTCTTGCCCTGTTAGTGCCATGTGGGGACTATTCTTTTCCTTTTCAGCCCAGAGTCCTTGGGTCACTCAACATAGATACTAGTGGCACCTTTAATTGAGTTGGAAGAGAAAGACAGGGCTTTTTCTAAGATGTGGAAGCAGAATCTCCCTGCAGACTGGTCCAGAAAAAAAAATGGCAATTTCTCCAAACTCATTTAACTCCCCAATCTAGTAGACAGCCTGGTTTTGTGTGTGAGTTTGGTGATTGATCCATGACATTCCCAGAAACCCCTGCTGCCAATGTCCCCCACCATACCCCACTTGATCTAATGAAATAACTCAGAGGGTGATGAATAATAAACTTATAATTTTTCAAATAGCATTAGTCTGGATTCTAGTTTCTTTTACATCCATCGTCTGAAATAATACAACAACCCTGCAGTTGGCATTATTTATTTCTCTTTGAACATATGGAGGCTCAGAGGAGCCCAACATCACCCAGTAGTACAAGCACTCAAGTCCAGGTCTTTGAACTTCATGTTTTTTCTTTGCACCATAATATTTAACAAGGGTTAATATTTGGATGGCTCTTAAATGAGTCTCTTGGGGAAGAGGGTACATGGTCTGTGCTTGACTACTAACCTGAAGGTTGGAGGTTCACACCCATGCAGAGGAATGGTGGAAGAAGGTCTCACAATCTGTTTCCACAAAGGCTACAAACAAGAAAAAAAAAAAACTACAGAGCAGCTGTATTCCACAACACCGGGGTTGCCATAAGTTGAAATCAACTCTATGGCCACAGGTTGGATGTTACAGTTATTTACCTTCAAAAAGTCATGTTCTGGGAAGGGAGGGTAAATCACTAACTAGAGAGTAAACACATATTAACTTGGGAGAAGGGAAAAGCAGTATACAATAAGGGGGTACAGCACAGCATAGCTAAGGAAGACACTAGGAGCTACACAAGTGTAAAAGACAGCAAAGGTAAATCCTATTACATGAAAAATCCTGTAATAACTCTGAGTAGATACATAGTTAAATCTGCAAGCTGAGCAGATGTGGGAAGATTAAAAAGAATACATACAACCATGAGTACACATTTGGCAGAGGACATTTATACATAAAGGAGCTCTGGTAGCATAATGGTTACAAATCGGGCTGTTAACCTCAAGGTTAGCAGTTTGAAAGTACCAGCTGTTCTGCAGGAGAAAGACGAGGCTTTCTGCTCCCGTAAAGATTTACAGCCTTGGAAACCCTGTACACGGTTGCTATGAGTCAGAACCGACTCCATGGCACATAACAACAACAACAATTTATACATATGTATTACAATATGCTACAAATACATCCAAAGGTATAATAGAGCCTGTTGTTGTTAACTTCCATCAAGTCTATTCTGACTCATAAGC